CATTCTGTACGTGGCAAGAAGAGTGCCCTCAGGTCAATGCGTAGTCGAAGAGGTCTGTTAGACGTTGTCCGGCTTATTCTCTGATTTGCTGATCGGCCGATCATTAGCCGCGAAGTTACTTTAAAGTTTCTCTCATCGGAAGTCATTCAAAAGGAATATAATGAGTGGAAGCGTGTAAATGCCGCCATATCAGATCACATTCCCATTCTACGGTAATGAATGGGCTTTTCTCTAGACATTTCGCAACGGCTGATGTCATTTCAGTGTTAAAAAATTACACGTAATTGAAGCTGCTGTGATATCAGTCAAACACAGTAGCTTGCTATGTTGCTATTTGTTTTGTCATCAAAAAATAGCTAGTAGACGAGATTTGGCGGTTTTAACTTGATTTGCGTGCTAGCACTTTTGTGTACACAACCGACTCCTGTTTTAGACCAGTCAGCAGGTTCTTTTCGTTTCTCAGAATTCCTAAACTCCAGGAGCTGAGAGGCGTTGACAGAAAAGTGGTATTATTTGAATATCAGTTTTCAATATTGTGATTTTTTAGGCATTCACACGACATGGAGCACGAAGTCAAGCATCGAGCTCTTATCTACGTCAACGGAATGAAGGTCAGTTATCCTGCAGTTATTAATATTATTATGTATGTAAAAATGTTTTTTTACTTGTTTACTACTGTCCTCTAAAATTGCCCTCCACAGTTTAATTTTGACCTCTTCGGCAGGATAGCAGATGTGACCAGGGAATCAGATGTCAGGGCAAAATGCTGAGAAATGTAGTCTTGAAGAAACTTTCGAAGAAGCTATCGTCTAACGCGACGGATATCCAGGCTAGCAGCTTTTCATGGCTTTTAATGTAACCTTATTGAAAGGAACAATAAAATGCCTACAAATATGTACGAACGAATTGAAGACCACTGTCTGTATTAATTCTGAGAAAAATCAGGTTTTTTCATCTTGTCTTTTACCTGTTGGTAAAAGGTATTCCTAAAGGTCCATGAGTAAGCGGATGACTTCGCGCTGCTGAGCGACTCCAAAAGTAGCCTACTGACAGTAATTGAAAGCGTGTACAACACTGCAATGAGAATGTGACTGAAATTGAACGCCAAAGGACGAAGATTATGAGAGCACCCACAGCTACAGATGGTTGCAGAATTTTATAAAGTGGTATTACGATGAAAATGGTATTCCATTTCAAATACCTTTGAACTGTGTTGGTTAAGAATGACGACATTGATTCTGAAGTGAGCCAGCGAATTTCAGCAGACCGTATGGCACATGGAAGGACGCATAAGAACGAGCACGAGGACCACCAACTTGGAGGCAGCCGTATTCGTGGTGCTCATTTCGTGTCGAAGCATCAGCGGTCCTTTAGAGCTCCTCTAGACAACTTTCAACAACGTTGTCTACTAAGTGTATCCTTAAAGTGGGATGGTATCACCTGATCACGAACGAGCACATCTGAGGAAATTATCAGATAAACTCAGAGACTGGCGCTGGGCTTAGTTTAATAAAAGGGCCGAAAACGAGAATAAGAATATATTCAAAACTTCCCTGTCTCGAGAATCGGCCACTGGCTGTAGATTCGTTGAGGGGGGGGGAAATACAATCACGGAAACACTTCGTTGATCTGCTGTGACGAGGAATATGACCTTTGTCGCAGCTGTGAACGTTGCCTAATATCAATATGAGATCCCATTGCTGAGGATCAGACATCATAAGTCTCTGCTAGCCTTTGATGACGGCGACACAACAACAACATTTTGCTGAATAGAAGGCAGAACGAGGTTTCAGGTGTGTACTTTAGGTGGTGCAGCCGAGCGTACGTATAAACCCTTATTCGCGATTCGAGTTTCACTGCTATTTTACTAAAGTGTTCCTTTGATGTAAGATCCCGGTAGAAACCATTTGGCTATCACGAGGGTAGAGCTTATCTTGCCTTCATTGCTGAATTGTGCTACTTCGATGAAATAAACAGAGACGTTGGGTCTCGAATGTTAACAGTGTTTGTTGTTTTAGCATGAAGTTGCTAACGTTTGCCCGACCACAAGCCTGGCTGCATATTTGCGTCGAAACCGTACTACTTCGAAACACGTCGAAGTGATGATAGCAACAGCTGTTCTTTTTAGTTCGACTTACTGGAACCAAGATTGCGTGCAACGAAGGTGGTTGCGGTGCTTGTACAGTTATGATATCAGAGTACTGTACAGCTACTGGAAAAATAAGGTAATGGTCAGTTATTACTAATTACCACAATTAACTCTCGACTTCACCGCGTATTGTTCCACCCTTTGTTTCTGGTCGTCGCTTCAGAGGAAGGGAGTTAAAGCAAGCCGCAGCTCCAAGACATTTGTGCACCTACAGTGTTAGGTGCAATGCATGTCGCATTTTCTTGTTCGCTAGATTCACCTCTCCCTCGTTACCAATGATTTTTCAAGAGCTGGTACTCATAATATGCTACTAAGTAGGGATCAAAATATGTTTATCCATAAAAGTCAAAGTTCTATGTTTATCCATGAAGCAGATGACAGCTGGCCGTACATTAGGGCTGTGAATCTTCTCTCAGTTTCTTGCATTAATATATGCATAGGCTTCTCGAAATTTGTCAGCGCCTCTATAGCGTGCCACCTCGTTTGTGGGTTACATCCACAGTCTGTAGTTTGAACCGGTTAAAATTTCAAATAGTAGAACCTAAGCAGAATCCTTGTGGAGGTGACCTTATTCGCATGACTGAAGCATATCCCCACTCCCACGATAAATCAGCACACTAACGTTTTCACCAAACTGATGCAGGAGCTTTTCTGAATACTAAGCGGAAAATTTGAGGTTCTTAAATTGTCGCCTTTCAGATACATGTCAGTCAACGCCTGCATGATGCCCATATACAGTGTCCATGGTAAAGCCGTAACTACTGTCGAAGGTATAGGGTCTATAAAGAAAGGATTGCATATAGTGCAGGTATTCGTAAACTTGAAGTTAAAGCCATATTCAGTCAATTTGTTTAATAGGAACGGATGAAAACATCAAACGCGTCTCAATGTGGATACTGTACGCCTGGCTTTGTCATGACTATGTACTCCTTACTGAGAGCAAACCAGCGTCCCGCAGAAGAGGACATTGAGGAAGCGTTACAAGGTAGAGTTCAATGGCTTTCGTTTTAGCGGATTATGGTTTAAACCTAGGTAACCTATGCCGCTGTACTGGCTACAGACCAATTCTCGAGGCTTGCTATTCATTTGCGGTAAGCATTTAGATTTCTGAGAAATTTTTATTTATTTTCCTCAGATTGATGGCGAAACGAAATGTTAACGGGCTTATCAAGCTACACTTTCTCTATGTACTTGATGATGATGCATATTAATGCGTCATCATAATATTAAACGCTGATAAGATTCGACAGATGTTGTTGGAAAGCCCACCCTGATTTAGGTGCTATTTGCCAGATGTTGCCTCAGAAGCACTGTTTAGATTCCCTAAAGCCGAAACTGCTGACTCGCCGCGTTGGTGCTTTCCAAGATTTAACTTCACTCCACTGCACGTCAGTGGTATTATATGAAATTGGTAAAACTATATCGTTTAAAAGAATAAATAGGTACAGACCAGGTAAGGGGCCTACTGCATCACTAGATTATAGCCTTGTCAAAAATGCATCACTGCTAAATTGATTTTCTCCAGATAACGAGATAACAATTATGGAACTGCTACTTTTCATCCGCATATGTCTCAGGATATTAATTTAGTATTTTTTGGTATTATACACTCTTCAACGTGATAAAAATAAACATATACGAGCTTTGACAACGTCCCTATGCCTGAATTTTAAATGATGACCATGCAAGTATTACAACATATGTTAAAAATGTTATTCGTTCCCAAATTCGTGGTGTCATCTATGAAGCACACTCAGAATTTTGTGCCTTCATTGTTTAGACCATATTACGATATGATTTCACCATTCTTTCTCTAAAGACTGAGACGGACACTGACGAGTGACTCCTGTGTCCGTCTCGGCTTCTGGTAAGAGATCCTTTTTTCTATATATCTGATGTCTTAGAGAGTACATTTTACTCTGCAACATCGTTATCAGGCCGTCGCTTCAGATTCATGATTTCCTCAGCGGTGAAGAAATTGCTCCAGCGTCATTAAGTCGTTTTCCACTTTGTTTTTTGTTCTTTCTCCCCTAAGGAATGCGGAGTTAGAATCTCATCGAACAGTTACTTTATATTGGTCACTAATCATTTCATAGGATGAAGTAATGTATCACAAACTAACTTTTTAGAAAGATTATTAGAAAGAAGTTAGCAAACATTATGAATAGATCATTTTTACAACTCTGAATTTTCTAGCTACTGACCATTTGTCCGTGTTTATACGATGTTGATGACATTTTTTTCTTTTTTAGGTAGGTTGCACGGACGGCAGGCATTGCAGCTTCATGAAAAATGAGGTAAACAACGGATCCATGGGACATCCGATACGATGAATAAATGGTTGCTAAATCTCAGTCTTTAATTCTGGCCTAAAATTATAGCAATATATTAGTTCAGTATCTGCGCAATCACAAGCCTTAACCAATGCAGTCAGGAGTTATCATTTGATTGCTTTTGTGCAATGAATACAATAAGCAAAAAATAAAGAGATAAACGAGTGGACGAATTAATGAATGTGTGCTCCCAGTTGTTTTCATTGGTTTTCCTTCTGATTATGAACGCGATCATAATGATAACCGTAGTCGTTTTTTTCATAATGGTGATATTCACTGTTATGTTCATTATTATCAGCGTTATCAAGAGCATTTATTGTTATATTCGTAAGATTTTATCTCATGAGAGTCCATAAAGCGTCGTATAACGTCCAGCGAATGAAGACATAGTTATGCAAAATTTTTACACCATTAATTTTCTGAAATTTTGACCTTCCAAAAGATAGATAGTGTGTTTATATTTTCTGAAACTTATTTCAATGCGGTCTTCTTCAGTAGCCCTGGACAGGAAAAACAGATCAGATAGCAGTCTATTATAAGTGCCGAAGTTTCAATCAGACATTTTCAGGGCAAACATTTTTGTTTTCCTTGAGGATGACCAGTGCAGTTTGACTGAAAGGTTGGCAACTATATCATAGACTGCAATATGTATGTTTCTTGTGTACAATCACTGAAACGGCATTTACCTATGTTATTTTACTCTTTTTCTGATAAATGAGTTTGATACGTTTCAGAGAGTATGCGACATGATGAAAAGAACTCGCAGTATATTTATTGAGGCTTGATGGCGTCCAGTTCTTCCGTCTCGCGTTGTAGTTTGTGAATTATGTTTTCACACAGATTAGCTTTAGGGTTGAAGAGGTCTATTATCCCCAGACGGCATTCCCAGATACGAAAACTATCCATAGTTCACAGTGCCTTTAGGTTATCTTTTATTTCGGTTGTTGTACACTCTCCGGTTCGGTTCAGGGAAGCTACATCTGATTCACACGACTAGTTTCACACCATTGCTACATCGTGTCTTAGTCATGAAGACATTTGGTGACCAATGAGTGCAACGTTTGCTGCGCACTGTTAGTTTCTGTACCTTCTTTTCGTAACGTTTATGATTACGCCGTTGACAGTCCCAAGCGCGGATGGAAAAGGCGTACGGTTAGAGACCGTAGCAAAATCTTCCATAAACCTTGTCCACCTGCTCCTCGTGGCATTGTAGTTATCGAACTTTATTCAGTCTAGGTCATCGTCAGGGTTTCCAAAGTCCGCGTGGGCCACTAGGTAAATGAGGCAGACAGTGAAAAGTCGGCAATTAGAAATTGCTTCTCGCCTTCTGGCAGCTAGGGACGTGGCAGCATGATGACTGAAAACCGACAGGAAGACGACGAATATCCCGTTCGAACATAGATGCTACGAATTCTGAACGGACGGTATAGGGTTCTGTTGAGACCCAACCTGACTGACAGTCATAAAATTGAAGTATGTTGGCGAATAAGTGGATATCAACTGTCTGAAATTGCAACAGTCTAAACCTTGTCACATGTCCGTTCTCCCAATTTGGAAAGAGAGTATTAGTTCTCCTTTGAGGAATTAAAAGGTACTCTGTTCGAAGTGCCTACTTACTACGGAATGCGCTGTTCTAATAGGCGATTTCAGTTCGCATGTCGCAGCAGACATTGAAAAGTGGAATAGGGTGATAGGAAAGAACGGTCTTAGCAGTCCCACCCCCGGTCTTAGCAGCACAAAGTTCTTCGAGTTTTATGTGAAAAGCGGACTGTCCGTTATGAACTTAATCTAGTATCGAAATTCGCATCAGTAACCCAGTATAGGGAAGTTTAAGCACAGAAGTCGATGATGTATTTGATAATCTTGTCGCCTGAATACCAACCCTCTGTAATTGATGTTCACGTTAAGAGAAGCGCAAAGCTGTCAATTTATTACAATCTTGTTGGCACGCTATGCGGTGAAAAATGGCATACCGTACGAAGATCTGGCGGCAGAAACAACCAGAGAACCAAATGGAAAACAGTCACTTTTGTGGATGCGACGGTGAAATTTTCAAATAACATCGTACGACGGTTTAAACAAATCATTCGGAAACTGTGTGGAAGCATTTTACTACCACTGCTGCTAACTGCTGTGGTTTTAAATTCGTTGATCTGTTGCCTGAATGTCAGAGATGAATTTCCTGGAGGACAAGAGAGGATCAGCTGAGTGTCTCTGACCGAAAGCAGGCGGCATTCACGAAATGGCTTGGCAGCAAAAAGCTTTAACTCGAGTGCAGTACGAAAAGGCGAGCAAACAGACAGCTAAAGCAGTGGCCAAAACAAAAACTGATTCCTTGAAAAATCTCAGTAAGGCACTGGAACCGAATTTAAATTTGGCAAACAAGATATTCTGGGAGACAACGCGTTGCCTCTGCGGTGGATTGCAGCCTAGCAGCCCTGAACGACATATCCGGCGCCTTCATTCTATCGTATTTTGGTGACCGCAGTACGTTTTGCCTGAGAAGCAGCGAGCAACTAATATTATTCTTTCAGTAGGTGATGTTACAGAAGCATTTAGAGTGCTTGAAAAGTGGCAAAGCTGCTGGAATTTATAATGCTTAAATCTTTTTGCTAACAACGCATATTTTGACTAATAACTGTCTGTGAAGCTGCCATGTCGACGTTGAATAAACCAGCTGAGTGGAAAACGGGGGCGGGGTGTGGTAATATCCCAGTTTAAGAAGGGAAACCATAATGAGTGCTTCAGTTATCCAGACATGATGTTATTGAGGTTCTTTCGAAAAGTCTGCGCTAACTGTTAGAAAGAATGGGCCGCAGAATAACTGCCTCATGGATACAAGAATTGCAGTGTGGGTTCAGATCAGGCCGATATACCTGCGGCCAAATTTTTGCCACACGCCATATTGTTGAGAAATAGCTGGATTTCGCTAGTCCGGTTTGCATGTGATTTGTGGACCTGGAGAAAGCACGTGACCGGGTCCCGCTCATGAAGTTATGGGCATGCCTGCAAAATAAGGAATCAGTGTCCAGTTGCTATTAGCCATCCAGTCACTATATTATGAGAGCTGGTTCTGCGTTAATGTAAAGGGTTTAAGTCGATTTCATCGTTCTCACCGCTCTTCGTCAAAGCTGTGTTATGTCTCTTTCCTTGCTTATGTTGCATATAAGTGGGATGGTCAGTTGCAGTCAAGGCGATGAGTATATCAACGTGGGAGATGTTGAGACGAGAAGGTTGCTCTCTGCAGACGACATTGTTTTGTTAACATCTTCTAAAACTCGTCCCTTAAGCTGTCTGGAAAGGGACTGCGACGTAGTCACACGCATGCGTAATACGAAAGGCTTAATGCTTTCTTGTTGTTCTATAACCTTACATTCTGCAGGGAACAAGTGGAACATGTAAAGATGTTCACTACCTCAGAGTTGTGATTGGTGGTGATGGAAAATCAGAGAAAGACATGAATAAGCGTCCTGGAATTGCTAGGGCTGTTCTGTTTGAACTCACCCAAGGCTGAAGAATAAACTTGTTTGTTCAAACTTATCATTAACCCGAATGTCACCTACTGTCATGAATCATGATCCTAGACTGTACTTCGATTAAGGTTACAAACCGCTGAAATCGTCCATCGAAGCTAGGACGCTGGTGCGGAATCGCGAGCGTTTTATGCAGTCTGTGACTCCTGTGCCTGCGCAACCTGGATGGATAGGCGATAATCGAAACTGACTGATTGCATTGCTTATCATGACTTTTTTGACTTGACGTTTTATATATTTTTTGATTTCCTTTGACAGTTTTTTGCCTTATTTTAGATTCACTAATTTTATATTTATAATATTTTGTAATAGTGATTCCTTAGTGTATTTTTTCAAAATTATGCATGGCTTTTTTCGTTTAAACAACAGGCTGCATTATTTTTTGCAAAAGCGTTTTACAGTGTTTTATACACTAAATGCATCAATTGTCATCTGTTTTAGCGCTTTATTCTTGCTCTGAATTAAGGAATTGACAGAAGATGCCGTTGTAGACGTTCAGAAATCGAAACAGAATTATT